TTGCTCGTGTGCCACAGTGCCGACCTTCATAGGTGCCTGCAACTCGCGAACCAGCAACTTGAACACCTCCCCCTCACCCCCACAGTCTGCTCAAGGCTGTCCGCATGCACGGATGAGGCGGTGTGTGCTTTGTGTGTCGCGGGGAGCGGTGGCGCTGCGGTTAGCGCAGCGCTGCCCCCCCGGCTAAACCACCCAGTTCGACTCCAGCTCGCTCGCCCAAACATCGAGCGGCGAATATCTGAGCCATGGCCTCGACCTCCCCCTAGGTCGGCTCAGCCTTAAAAGACGTGAAAGGCTACTCGTTCGAATGAGCCCGGAGCGGTGGGTAAACGTCAGTGACGGGGATACAAAGACGGCCGCGGCGCGTGGCGCTGGTCAGCCAAACCCCGCGTGTGCTACGATGCCGGCCTTAATAGGTGATCGCTGACAGCACTTGATCCGAACAGTCTGTCACAGGCGACACTGCTGGAATATTTGCGCATAACGATTGTAACATTTTTAATTTGAGTACGCGTTTGTACGCGTGCGCGTAGTTCTTACATATTTAATGTCTAAACATGTTTGTAGTTTTTTTTTTTAAATATTCAATTCGCAATGTGTATAGTTGGTAAATGTTGAATTGCTGTGTGAAAGGTTAAGCGCAGCCCCTGCAATTTCCCGTTCACACAACTGCTGGCGGATGAGACCCAAGGACTCACACAGATACTCATAGACTTGCATAGAAACCCATAGACTCGGTGACCCATGGACTCATATAGAGACACATAGACTCACACAGGGACCCGTAGACTCACATAGAGACCCGTAGACTCACACAGAGACTCACAGACTCACATAGAAACCCATAGACTCATCACACAGAGACCTATATAGTCATCTGACAGAGACCCGTAGACACATAAAAAAACCGTAGACTCACAGAGCAGTAGAATCACACAGAGACCTATAGACTCACATAGAGACCCATAGACTCACACAGAGACCTATAGACTCACATAGAGACCCATAGACTCACACAGAGACCTATAGACTCACATAGAGACCTATAGACTCAGTGACCCATGGACTAACACAGAGACCCATAGACTGATCACACAGAGACAAGTAGACTCACACAGAGACTCGTAGACTCACACAGAGACATGTAGACTAACACAGAACGATAGACTCACACAGAGACCTGTAGACTAACAGAGACCGATAGACTCACACAGAGACTTATAGACTCACATAGAGACCCATAGACTCAGTGACCCCTGGACGAACACAGAGACCCATAGACTGATCACACAGAGACCCATAGACTCACACATATACCCGTAGACTCACAAAGCCATTGAATCGCACATAGACATATAGACTCACATATAGACCCATAGACTAAGTGACGCATGGTCTAACACAGAGACCCATACACTCATTACACAGAGACTCATAGACTCACACAGAGACCCGTAGACTTACAAAGACCCATAAACTCACACAGAGACCTATAGACTCACATAGAGCCCCATAGACTTATTGACCCATGGACCAACACAGAGACCCATAGACTGATCACAAGAGACCCGTAGACTCACGCAGAGACCTATAGACTCATACAGAGATCCGTAGGCTCACGTAGCCATTGAATAGCACATAAACCTATACACTCACATTTAGACTCATAGACTCAGGGACCCATGGACTTACATAGAGACCATTGATTGATCACACAGATACCCATAGACTCACACAGAGACCCATAGACTCACACAGAGACCCATAGACTCACATTGCTCGTTATAACGTGTTCCGCGTTTGAACGGGCAGCATGGTTCAGCGTTATAACGGAGGGCGCTGTTCAGCGTTATAACATTGGGGAGCGCGGTTCTTCATTGTAACAGCGGGGAGCGCGGTTCTTCATTGTAACAGTGGGGAGCGCGGTTCTGCATTGTAACAGCGGGGAGCGCGGTTCTTCATTGTAACAGCGGGGAGCGCAGTTCTTCATTGTAACAGTGGGGAACGCGGTTCTTCATTGTAACAGCGGGGAGCGCTGTTCTTCATTGTAACAGCGGGGAGCGCAGTTCTTCATTGTAACAGTGGGGAACGCGGTTCTTCATTGTAACAGAGGGGAGCGTGGTTCTTCATTGTAATGGGGAGGGCGGTTCTTCATTGTAACAGTGGGGAGCGCGGTTCTTCATTGTAACAGTGGGGAGCGCTGTTCTTCATTGTAACAGCGGTGAGCGCGGTTCTTCATTGTAATGGGGAGGGCGGTTCTTCATTGTAACAGTGGGGAGCGCGGTTCTTCATTGTAACAGCGGTGAGCGCGGTTCTTCATTGTAACAGCGGGGAGCGCGGTTCTTCATTGTAATGGGGAGGGCTGTTCTTCATTGTAACAGAGGGGAGCGCGGTTCTTCATTGTAACAGCGGGGAGCGCGGTTCTTCATTGTAACAGAGGGGAGCGCGGTTCTTCATTGTAACAGTGGGGAGCGCAGTTCTTCATTGTAACAGCGGGGAGCGCGGTTCTTCATTGTAACAGCGGTGAGCGCGGTTCTTCATTGTAATGGGGAGGGCGGGACGCAGTTCCGCGTTGGGCGAAAGTGTTCGAGCGTTACAGCGTGAACACCGCCACGCGTTAAGTGAGGACTTGCCGTGCATTACAACTCAACCATTCCCGTTTATTACACCCCGCAGTTTGAGCAGCAGCAGCAGCAGGCAATTAGGGCAATTAAGTGGCATTAACATCACAGACGCGGTCTCATGCGAGTCTCTATAAGCAAGTCTTCATCACCCCCACGGTCTGTCTCAACAATAACAATCAACAAGTGGGTCGATAAAGTGAGTAACTCTATTGTACTTAGACGTTCGCCCGCACGCCCCGTTAAATCGTGGAGGTCATGAACGCTTCCACAGGGACCCATAGATGCCACATAGAGACCCACAGACTCATGGCCGTAGAGTCTCAGAGACCCATAGACTTACACAGAGACACATGGACTCACAGAGGCCTATAGACACGCATAGAGACCCAATGACTCGCATAGATCCGTAGACTCACAGAAGTCCATATACTCACATAGAGACCCATAGACTCACATAGAGACCCATAGACTCACACAGAGACCCATAAACTCACACAGATGCCCAAAGACTCACACAGAGGCCCATAGACTTACATAGAGACACACAGACTCACACCGAGACCCGTAGACTCACATAGAGACCCATAGACTCACACAGAGATCCATAGACTCACACAGAGACCCATAGACTCACACAGAGACTCATAGACTCGCACATAGACCCATAGACTCACACAGAGACAAATAGACTCACACAGAGACCCATAGACTCACACAGAGACCCATAGACTCACACACAGACCCATAGACTCACACAGAGACCCATAGACTCACACAGAGACCCATAGACTCGCTCAGAGACCCATAGACTCACACAGAGACCCATAGACTCGCACAGAGACACGTAGACTCTAATAGAGTGGAACAAACATCGTTACCAAGTAACTTTTTCATCATTGACGCTCACAACAATGATGATGTCATCACGACAAATATTTTGAGAGCAAATCCACTCAACCAAAATCGTTCCCCGTGGAGACGCTTCCGATTCCCAGTCTCTCTCCCGGTGACGAACCGCGGTACGATTTTAAATTCCCATGCCCATTCGTGCTGCGGAGTTCATTAACACACGACACGCGTGGATATCACAATTCCTACAATGCATAGGGATGGAGGAGGAGGCTACTGGGGGCAGTGCCAGGCTAGGTGCACCTTGAGGCTACTGGGGACAGTGCCAGGCTAGGTGCACATTGAGGAGGCTACTGGGACAGTGCCAGGCTAGGTGCACCTTGAGGAGGCTACTGGGGACAGTGCCAGGCTAGGTGCACCTTGAGGACACTACTGGGGACAGTGCCAGGCTAGGTGCACCTTGAGGAGGCTACTGGGACAGTGCCAGGCTAGGTGCACCTTGAGGAGACTACTGGGACAGTACCAGGCTAGGTGCACCTTGAGGAGACTACTGGGGACAGTGCCAGGCTAGGTGCACCTTGAGGAGGCGACTGGGGACAGTACCAGGCTAGGTGCACCTTGAGGCTACTGGGCAGTAGGAGGCAGTCGCCCTCCAACAACAACGGCGGGCGGAGGAGCGACGCTCACAACAACGAGCGGAGCGCCGGGTAGCTAAAGCACAGCAGGATGGCACAGTAGGGGGCACAGGTGGTGCATCAGCCAGTCATCTCAGTCAGTCGACCCGTGGCACCTGCTGGGTCTGTCCCCGTGACCTCCTGCCAGCGGGCGTTCGACACCTCACGTGGCCTCAACGTGCACCTAGCCTGGCACCACAAGCATCGTGGTGACGTCACCGCCACTTAGTGGCGAATGGCGGCTGCTGCTGCTGCTGTTGTTGTGATAACAGCACTTGCCCCAACAGTCTGTTGAGGCTATACGGGTGGATGGGGAATGGATCTTTGTCTTTGTTGTGGGGAGCGGTGGCGCAGTGGTTAGCGCCAAGCCGGTGGCGAGCCGAGTTCGATTCCCGAAGCTCACGATCACCGAACCGATTCCGTCCCCCTCCGACCCGCGAACCCCGCCCCCCCCCCCTCCCCCACACACCCGCCTAGGTCGACTCAGCCTTTAAACGAGCGCCCGGCGGGGTGCGTGAGACATCGGCATCGGGAAGACAAAGGCGGCCGTGCGCGTGGACTCACCGCCCGATTAAAATCGAAAGTCCACCACCCGTCAAAACTGAGAGTCGTCCTCCGGCGGCTATGACGGATCGCTCGCTACCACTGGGCGGTCGGAACCGAGGCTCGCGTTCTCGGTCAACCCCCGCTCGCTCGCTCGCTCGCCCCCTCGCTCGCCCCCTCGCCCGCTCGCTCGCACGCAAAGGCGACCGAGAGAGCGGTCAACCGGAGTCGACCTTTCGGAGGCAGCCCCAAACTCCACGGGGGCAAGCTCAACGCCAACGTCGTCGCCGTGGGAAAGTCCATCTCTCACCTTCACAGTCGGCCTCGGGGGAGTCCCGCCTTGCGTGAAAACTCACGTCCAGATCGGGAGTCCACCCGGCTGTTGACCCGGGCGGTAATCCATCTTAAGTCCACCTTCTGATTATTCACGATCCACAGCGAGGCCACCTTTCGTCATTGAAATCACCGACGGTCCCAACTTCCTGTTATTATATGCCACGCCAAATGTCCACCAATTCATCAGTCTCATTGGTCGTTCACCTTGTGGTGGCAGACGACCCTACAGAGTCCACCTTCTGATCGTTGACAAATCACAGTGAGTCCACCTTTTGTCATTTATATCACCGACTGTCCACATTCATATTATTATATGCCACGCCAAATGTCCACCATTTCATCAGGCTCGTTGATGGAAGACGACCATACAGAGTCCACCTTCTGATCGTTGACAATTCACAGTGAGTTCACCATTTGTCATTTAAATCACCAGCGGTCCACCTTCATATTATTACATAGCACCTCAAAATGTCCACCAATTCATCAGTCTCATTGGTCGTTCACCTTGTGATGGTAGACAACCCTACAGAGCCCACCTTCTTATAATTCACAATCCACAGTGAGTCCACCTTTTGCAGGCCACCTCAAGCGATTGTCCACCTCATTGCTCAACTTTCCTGGCCCACGGTGTATTTAATCGAACATCATTTCCATCGTCCACCTTTCAATCAATTGTATAGCATCTGAAAGTCCACCATCGTTGACACCACCCGCGTGCTTGTCCACCTTGTTTCCCCCCACCCCCCCCCCCCCGCCGCTCACGAGGTGAGTGCAGCCTCAGCGTTGTGGTCCACCTTCCCGAACGCTGGACCCGCAGCGATAGTCCACCGCTCTGATCGCTACCCCACTTCTCTCAACTGCCACTCGGCAATTGTCTATGGAAGATCTTCTTAAAAGTCGCCCCGTTTTAACGTCAATCCGCACCGCCTGACCGCTCGCAACATTCTGACGGCCTCGTTTTTGCGCAGTCCACCCTCCGAAAGTCCACCACCGCCGCTCAAACGCTCGACCCACCCTGCAACCTTTCACCCCGCGGCCGCACCGGCGCCGCGCTCCTCCCGAGAGGTCGGCTCGGCGGTAGTTCCACCCTTGGCACGCACTCACTTGATTTATAGTCCACCCTTGGCACGCACTCACTTAATGTTTTGAGTCCACCCCCGTGTCACCCTTGAGCAAGCTTGGCACCGACACCAAACGGTTGCGCCCGGCCCCCGGTGTGCGCCCCGACATCCATTGACTCCGTCCGCTCGGTTAGTCCACCCTTCAGCGATGGCCGATTTAGTCCACCCCTCGCCGGTAGTCCACCTCTCGATCTGTAAAATGGCAACGGTTAGCGGGACGCTCAACATCCGCCCGAGTGCATTTCAAATCCTTTAAAGGGGGTGGAGGAGGTGGGGGGGTGGGGGGAAATTTTAATTTTCTGTTCGTAAATTTATTTATTTTGAATCAGTGAAACTATTACTTCTACGTGACTTTACCGAGAGAACCAAGAATATAGAGTTATAGTTGTGTATTGCAACGGCTGTAGGCCGTATGGACCTGCAAACCAAATTTCCCCCGTACAAGAATACGGGGCTAGACCGTGATGGGTTGACAGTGATGACGCGTATACAGGGTGCTCCAAAAAAATGTGAACACTCACATGGGAGCTATCGTTTTTTTTAATGAAAAAAATATAAACGGGCAATAATACAACACTGTAACACGACAACACGTGTAATGGTCACAGCGTCAAGGAGTCCAAGAGTCTCTCCCACTTGTTCGCCATCGTTCTCAACGCGTGCCCTGAAATCTTATCCACGTGGTCTATCGGTCTCTGGAGGCAGCGCGTGTTGAGGTGCCCTCGTTGCAAATTCTCCGAAATGTTAACATTTTTTTGAAGCAACCAGTATTTGCAAGGTGTGTGTGTCTGTGCGTTTAGGTCGACTCGGCCTCAAACGTGTGCAGTAGACATCGCCACTGGGGAGACAAAGGCGGCCGGGCGTGGTTGCTGGCCACCCACCCCCTCGTGCGCCGTGCCGGTAGCCTTCACAGGTGCTGCTGCTCGCTAACAGCACTTGCCCCGACAGTCTGTTACAGGCTACACGGGGGGTCTTTGTCTTTGGTGTTGTGGTTAGCGCTACGCTGCGCTACGGACCTGGCTATGATCCGAGTTCGATTCCTGTTCACGGCCGCAACAGAACGTCGGTGACGATGATCTGAACAGCCGCTCCAATGTTGAATCGCAATCTGTATCGGTGCTGGAGGAATCCGATGAACTATCAAGCTCTTTGCTTCACAGATGTCCCAGTTGTTTCACTTCAAGAATTCCATTCATCTGGGACATACATCACCATCATCATCAAAGGCAAAGATCCCCCGCGTAGCCTCTAACAGACTGTTGGGGCAAGTGCTGTTAGCGAGCAGCACCTGTGAAGGCTACCGGCACTGTGGCACACGAGGGGGTGGCTGGCCAGCACCATGCCCGGCCGCCTTTGTCTCTCCCCGGTGGCGATGTTTACTGCACACCGCACCAGGGTAATAATTTGAGGCTGAGTCGACCTAGGGGAGGCCCAGAACCGGTTCAGATAATCGTCACCGGTGTGAGCTAGAATTGAACTCGGGTCGCCGGGTTCGTAGCGCAGCGTAGCGCTAACCGCTGCACCACCGCTCCCCACATCACCACCACCATCACCACCACCCTCATTACCCCCATCACCGACATCAACATCCATCAACCACCATCACCCATCCACACCACCGCAATCATCACCATCACCAAACCACTAACAACCACTCACATCACCCCATCACTCACATCACCTACATCATCATCATCATCATCGATAGCTTACATCGCCCATCATCAACTACCATCACCCCCCCCCCCCACACATCCCCCACACCACCTCCATCACCACCACCATCACCACCATCACAGCCATCACCCACACCTCCACACATCACCCACACCACCTCCATCACCCACCACCATCACCTCCATCACCACCTCCATCACCACCATCACCTCCATCACCCACCACCATCACCTCCATCACCACCACCACCACCTCCATCACCACCATCACATCCATCACCCACACCTCCACACATCACCCACACTACCTCCATCATCACCACCATTACCCCCATCACCCACCAATATCACCTCCATCACCACCACCATCACCTCCATCACCACCTCCATCACCACCACCTGCATCACCACCATCACCTCCATCACCCACACCTCCACAAATCACCCACACCACCTCCATCATCACCACCATTACCCTCATCACCCCCACCATCATCATCTCGCACATCACAATTGGGTGGTCACTGCAGTTACACGTTCTACGCTATTGCAAATGTTGATACATTGATGGTAGTTGATGATGGTGATTGTTGGATGATGATGATGATGATATAACTTGAACCACTCTGTATAGAGAGAGGGAGGGAGAGGTCACTCGTGATTTGTGCTATGGATAGCCTGGCCCCCACCATGGAAATGTGGAATTTCCACCACTTGACTCATACAACAACAAATGCGCGCCATGAACTAGGGGCTTTGTTCGAAACGTCGCCTGTTATGTTTCTCCCTTTTTTTAAAGGCCACACACTGTTGTTGACGATTAGCACGGGTGGCTACGTACGGTGCTTAAGAAGTTCAACATACGTACACACATGCGTTTATATGCGTATGTGTGCAT